TTTTTCCTCCTTGACCAACAATAAAACACAACTTTTCATCCATGTGTGGATGGAAAATGAGATGAAGAACAAATGTCATTTTCAGATCACAAACATTAATAAATCTTCAGCAGATGATGCAACAATCTCAGCAGCCAGATGGAAACAAAAACTTTCAGCATTTCACAAACACAAAACAGGATTTTAGCCGATTTTCTCCACATCTTGGAAAATCTGTAATTCTTAGAACAACATCCAAGTATGAAAGTTATTTTTGGACAGAGGTAAGTGGTTCATTTTGAATCATTTATTTATTTAAAGAGCTTTTTTCAAAGAGTCTAAATATGATCAAATGTATTTAATTCTCCACTGCTGCCCAGTTTATAGATTCTCTACATATAAAACATGCAAAGCAAAATGGCCACATAAATATCACAGAAATACTGTAAAATTTTCAAACTCAACCAGGATAAAGAAGTTTCTGTTTTCTTTACCAAAATTTAGATAAAAATGAATGTAAAACATGTCCTTATACATAATCAATACACATATTCATTACTTATCAATAAGTGTAGAACATTACATGATATTAAGGTCAATAAAAACCTCACAGCCATAAATGTTACACATGGAAAACGGTAATAAAATAATACCAAACCCTCAGTAAATACCTGACTTAATAAATAGTTCAGGTGAAACCAAATATTGATTTTATTTACATTTTCTTCTGTTTATCCTTATGAAAGTATTTGTATTGCATAAAGTTTTTCACACAGATACAAAAATCCACTGCACTATTTTAGTTTATTGTCATAACTAAGTCTAGTCTGACTACCATTGACATGTTTCTACCTGTTGCTCGTTGTCACTTCTCGTCTCTCCAGGTCTGTAGAGGCCGAACATAAAAGTGAAACTCGGACAACAATCACAGATCAATCAGTATTTTATTCAATCAATCAAAAGCATGAAATCACACCAACATCCCAACATGAGCATTGATCACCACAAACTAAAGGAAACATTAACCACCCTGATAAAGATGCGTCTTCAGAGAGCACCGTGTCTCACCCAGTGATCTGACTGACTGTTGTAGCTCACATACATTTATACCTCGCTGTGTCCAGGTGCTTTTTCTACCTGGCCGTCCTGCAGTGGCAGTCAGGAGACGGACGCTCTCCTTCATGATGATTTTCTACCCAGAGATAATCCAGGAGTTATTTTGAACAACATATT